TATAACTCCGTAACCTTTCAGTATTTATAACTCCATAACCTTTCAGTATTTATAACTCCGTAATCTTTCAGTATTTATAACTCCATAACCTTTCAGTATTTATAACTTCGTAACCTTTCAGTATTTATAACTCCGTAACCTTTCAGTATTTATAACTCCGTAACCTTTCAGTATTTATAACTCCGTAACCTTTCAGTATTTATAACTCCGTAACCTTTCAGTATTTATAACTCCGTAACCTTTCAGTATTTATCATGGTTTTCCAAAAAATTATTGATTTTCTTTCATTCTAAATTATAACAGCAATTCCAAAGACTTTTCATCAACCTTAATAATGCATTTAATATATTACTACCTTGTAAAAATTACAGTCATAAAAACGATTTTTTTTGTAAAAACTAAAGTAATTTTATCAGTACAATTCAAAGTACTTTTAAATGTAACCTAAAACTATCTCTCTCAGTTTGATTATTTAAACTATAATAAATATTTCACTGTAAAATAGTTAGAAGTCTGGTGATCAAAATTAAAATAAGTAATTTAGGGGATCCAGAGTAATCTAGTTTTACCTGTAATCCAAAAGCCTCTCTATGAATTTGGTGAATGAAACTTGAGTAAGTAATTTAAATAATTCATTATAAAATAGTTTTACTTTGTAACTTAAAAACCTCCAGGAGTCTAGTGATCAAAATTAAAATAAGTAACTTAGGGGATCCAGAGTAATCCAGTTTTACCTGTAATCCAAAAGCCTCTCCAGGAGTCTGGTGATTGAATTGATGAAAGCAATGCCATTCTTTCTCCATACTGGGTCATTTGAACGGACCTTCTCCAAGAGACTGTTATATAAAAAAAAGATGAGTTAGCTTTGTCCTTTATAAAGACGTTTTTGGTTTACAAAAGAGGGTATCACTGAAAATATATAATCTTAAAGTGAGCTTGTTTTCCTTTATAAAAATTTCAAACTAAAATACAATGGAAGAACATAACCAACATGTTTAAAGAACCAAATTTAGATTTCTGCAAGACTTTTGCTTGTATTATTCATTTAATGAGGTATATATTTATTTTTTAGGCATTATATCCTTTGCTTCCCTAAACAAACATGCATAAAATTTGCTTCAATTGATATTATTTTCTTTCTAATAAAATTTGGTTTTCAGTTTAAATGTATCATACTTCCATGTTCTACAAAAAAGAATATAAAACATCAACATATTTGGATTAAAATAAAACTGTCTTAACAGTTCTAGTAATAAGGCCTAGAATTTATAGCACATTTATTTTAACACACCCATCAACCCTTCCCTCCCTCCCTCATAAATAAACTATATCTAATGATCACATAAGAAAACTTAAGAGAAATTTCACAACTGCTGAAGTATTATATACAATGGACTCATTCAAAAATATTTACACCAAGTCTGAGAAATCATTAATTTTGTAAAACAAACACAAGAAACACCAACTTACACGGCACTCAAATGTTCCCTGGTTGCAGCGTTGAACAAAATTAAATAAATCCGTTAAACAATTTTCAAATATCAAACGGTAATAAGTATTAATAATAATTTTAGACAAGAGATGAGCAAAATGGCTTTTAGAATAAGTTTTTAATGAAAAGACAACTTATGTGACATAGTATAAAACTGTGAAAAAACAACTGAAATAACATTTCAAGTACTAATTAAAAATTTATATACAATAATTGAGTTAATGTATACAATCAGTTAGAGCAGCAATCAACTGGAGGTGTGGATGTTAATTATACAGCAACATATTTGTTAGTTAGTTATGAATTTCGCGCAAAGCTGCACGAGGTCTATCTGCACTAGCCATCCCTAATTTAGCAGTGAAAGAGTAGAGGGAAGGCAGCTAGTCATCACCACCCACCACCAACTCTTAGGTTACTCTTTTACCAACGATTAGTGGGATTGACCATCACATTATAACACTCCCTTGGCTGAATGGGCAAGCATTTTTGGTGGGACGGGGAATCAAACCCGCAGATTGCGAGTCGAGCTCCCAAACCTCCTGGCCAGATTTATATGCAGGTTGAAGTAAACATTATCAAAGTGATGTATTAAATATGCTCTTTACATTTATGAAAAATCACCTGAATAGTAAATATTGATAAGTATTTAAGTCATCTGAAACAGATGTTCCCTTAATGCCATGCTGAATATTTTATTTTGTTGGATTCCTATCAACACTTATAACATTATTTCATGTGTTGTCTCATGAATTATTATTCTAAATATCTTTAAAAAAAAATCAACTATATCCTCAAAAAACCCAGGAGTTACCAGGGGGCTTTCTTGAACTGACCCCCCCCCCCCCCAGGTCACCCACCTGGAGGTCTTACACCTACCCCTCACTTCGTTACGACGGTTACCTTTAAGAATAAGCTAGTGGTT